GACGCCTTTTCCCAACTTTTCCATGGATTTTTTCCCCCCTCCTTCTCTCCACTCCACTTTCTCCGGGATTCCGCCCTCTTTTCTCTTCCTCCTTCTCCCCCCAGGTGGATCCGCCAGGGTTTTGTTGGCCGGATCAGGTTCTGTGTGTGCTGGGGGAGGGGAGGCCAGCGCATGAATCCAAACGTTCATTTCACAACCAGTCCAACCAGTCAGGGCAGCTCCCAGCACATCCAAGGGCTTGGAAAAAAAAAAAAAGGAGGGAGTCGGAGGGGGGAGAAACTGCTCCCAGCCAGGGGCCAGAGGAAACTCGGGAAGGAAAAGGAAGGTTTGGGAAATTTCAGTCAAAATTCCCGTGAAATTCCGTTAAAATCGGGATTGAAATCGGGATTATATCGATAGGAAACGAGCGTAACGTTGGAAGGGCTCTTCCAGTTTTTATGGATTTAAGGGAGGATTTTCCAGTTTTTGAGTAAAGTGGGGATTTGAAATCTGAGTTTGCTGCTGGCTCTGGGAAAAAGAAGAATATTGAGAAAATCGGAATTAAATCGGAATTAAATCCTTAGATAACGAGCGTAACGTTGGAAGGGCTCTTCCAGTTTTTTATGGATTTAAGGGAGGATTTCCCAGTTTTTGAGTAAAGTGGGGATTTGAAATCCAACTTTGATGCTGGCTCTGGAAAAAAAGAAGAATATTGAGAAAATAGGAATTAAATCGGAATTAATTTGGAATTAAATCGTTAGATAACGAGCATAACATTGGAAGGGCTCTTCCAGTTTTTATGGATTTAAGAGAGGATTTCCCAGTTTTTGAGTAAAGTGAGGATTTGAAATCCAACTTTGATGCTGGCTCTGGGAAGAAAAAAGAATATTGAGGAAATCTGATTAAAAGGAATTAAATCGGAATTAAATCGATAGAAAACGAGCGTAACGTTGGAAGGGCTCTTCCAGTTTTTACGGATTTTGGAATATTGGGATTTAAGAGAGGATTTCCCAGTTTTTGAGTAAAGTGAGGATTTGAAATCCAGCTTTGATGCTGGCTCTGGGAAAATAAAGAATATTGGGAAAATAGGAATTAAATGGGAATTAAATCGGGATTAAATCGATAGAAGACGAGCGTAACGTTGGAATTGTTCTTCCAATATTCCTGGAATTTAGAATATTGGGATTTAAGGGAGAATTTCCCAGTTTTTGAGTAAAGTGGGGATTTGAAATCTGAGTTTGCTGCTGGCTCTGAAATAAAAAATGAATATTTGGATTAAAATCCAAATAAAATGGAGAGAAAGCGAGCGTAACGTTGGAATTGTTCTTCCAATATTCCTGGAATTTGGAATATTGGGATTTTAGGGAGAATTTCCCAGTTTTTGAGTAAAGTGAGGATTTGAAATCTGAGTTTGCTGCTGGCTCTGG